GTTTAGTGCTTCTGCTCTACCTCCTAGTTCATTGTGTAGTGCTTGGAGTTTTTAAAGATTGCTAGTGGCCATCCAAGACAACAATTGGTCTCTATTCACTTGGAACAACAGGAGGAAGGAAGATCAGGAATAGAAGAAGAATATGGAATATGTGGCTAATTGCCTCCATGAACAACTGCCTCCTTTGCCATGAGACCAGAAGAACTGTGTGGTGCCCAGCTACCATTAGTGAACATTTTGAGCAATCTTGATCAAAGGGGGAAAATGTAGGACAGAATTTCAAATTTTAATGGACTCTAGTCTTTCTGGAGCTATGAAAGGTGGATGGATGGATAATTTCAAGACCTGAAATTATGGTCTTGAGATAATCTTTAAATCTTAAACCCTATTTTTATCCCCTAAAGTCTTAAAACTGAACAAAAGTTTAGTTTTTTTGTTAGGTTGCATTGAATCAGTTCCAACTCATAGTGACTCTTTGTACAACAGAATGAAACATTGCTTGATCTCGTACCATCCTGATAATCACTGATATTTCAGAGCCCATTGTAGCAGCTACAGTGTCAATCTACCTTTCTCTTTTTCACTGACCCTCTATTTTGGCAAGCATGATGTCCTTCTCCAGGGACTGGTCCCTCCTAATAGCATGTCCAAGATACATAAAACAAAGTCTGGCCATCTTTGCTTCTAAGATGAAATTTGGCTATTCTTCTTCCAAGGCAGATTTGTTTGTTCTTCTGGTATATTCATTATTCTTCACCAACTCCATAATTCAAAGGCAGAAATTCTTCTTTGGTCTTCCTTATTCATTGTCCAACTTTTACATGCATATGAGGCAATTGAAAATACCATGGCTTGGGTCAGGCATACCTTAATCTTCAACATCAGATCCTTGTTTTTTTACACATTAAAGAGATCTTTTGCAGCAGATTTGCCCAATGCAGTACATCATCTGATTTCTTAATGCTGCTTCCATTGGCATTGAATGTGGATCCAAGTAAAATGAAATGCTTGACAACTTTTACATAATCTCTGTTTATCATCATGCTGCTTATTGGTCCAGTTTTGAGATTTTTGTTTTCTTTATATTGAGCTGTAATCCATACTGAAGGCTGTTGTCTTTGATCTTCATCAAAAAGTACTTTTCATTTTCAGCAAGCAATGTTGTGTCATCTCATATCTGCATATTGGAGGTCTTCCTGTAATCCTGATGCCACATTCTTCTTCATCCAGCTTCTCAGATTATATGCTCAGCATACAGATTGAATAAGTATGGTGAAAGGATACAACTCTGATGCACATCTTTCCTGATTTCATAACACGCAGTATTCCCTTGTTCTGTTTGAACAACAGTCTCTTCGTCTGTATACAGGTTCCTCATGAGCAGTTAAGTGTTGTGGAACCCCATTCTTCACAATGTCATCCATAATCTGTTATGAGCCACAAAGTCAGATTCCTTTGCTTAGTCAGTGAAACATAGGTAAACATCTTTCTGATATTCTCTTTTCACCCAAGATACATCTGACATCAGAAATGATATCCCTCATTTGATGTCCTCTTCTGAATCTGGCTTGAATTTCTGGCAGTTCCCTGTTGATGTACAGCTGTAACCATTTTTGAATTATCTTCAGCAAAATTTTACTTATGTGTGATATTAATAAGGAGCTCTAGTGGCACAGTGCTTAAGGCATTTGACTGCTAACTAGAAGATTGGCAGTTCAAACCCACCAGCTGCTCCATAGAAGAAAGACAAGATTACAAGGTAATCTACTTCTGTAAAGATTTAACACATTGGAAATCCAATGGGGGTCACTATGAGTTGGAATTGATTGGATGGCAGTGAGCTTGGTGATATTAATATTTTTGATAATGTCTGCATTCTGTTGGATCACCTTTGTTTGGAATAGACACAAATATGTATCTCTTCCAGTCAGTTGGCCAGGTAGCTGTCTTCCAAATTTCTTGCCATAGACAAGTGAGTGCTTCCAGTGTTGCATCCATTTTTTAAAACATTTCAACAGGTATTCCGTCAGTTCCTTGAGCCTTGTTTTTCCTCCAATGCCTTCAGTGTAGTTTGGACTTCTTCCTTCAATACCATCATTTCTTGATTATATGCTACCTCCCAAAATGAAGGGACATTGATCAGTTCTTTTTGGTACAGTGACTGTGTATTCCTTCATCTTCTTTTGATGCTTCCTGAGTTGTTCCATATTTTGCCCAAAGAAACCTTCAATTCATGGATTGATTTTTTAGTTCAGTTATTTCAGCTCAAGAAATGCTGAATGTGTTCTTCCCTTTTGGTTTTCTAGATATTGGCACATTTCATTATAATATTTTATCTTCTTGAGCTTTCCTTTGAAATCTTCTGTTCTGTTCTTTTACTTCATCATTTCTTCCTTTTGCTTTAGGTACTTTACCTTCAAGAGCAAGTTTTTTTTAATCTCTTCTAGCATCCATTTTGGCTTTTCTTTCTTTCCTGTCTTTTTAATGACGTCTTGCTTTCTTCACATATGATGTTATTAATGTCATCCAACAACCGTTCTGTACTTCAGTCGATAGTGTTCAATGTGTCAAATCTGTTCTGGAAATGATCTCTAAATTCAGGTAGGATATACTCTGGCTCTTGTGGATTTGTTTTAAATTTTCTTCAGCTCCAACTTGAACTTGCTTATGAGTAATTTATGGTCTGTTCTGCAGTCATCCCCTGGCCTTGGTCTGACTTATGATACTGAACTTCTCCATCATCTCTTCCCACAGATGTAGTCAATTGGATTCCTAAGTATTCCATCTGGTGAGGTCCACATGTATAGTTATTGTTTATATTGTGAAAAAAAAAAGGTATTTCCAATGAATAGGTCTTCAGTCTTACAAAATTCTATATGCAATCTTCAGAGTCATTTCAATCACCAAGGCCATATTTTCTAACTCCTGATCTTTCTTCTTTGTTTCCAACTTTTGCATTCCAATAATAGTAATTCCAATAATAATCAATGCATCTTAATGGCACATTTGATCAATTTCAGACTGCAGTAGTTGGCAATATTTTTCAGTTTCTTAATCTTTGGCATTAGTGGTTGGTGTATGAATTTGAATAATAATCATAGCATCTGGTCTCCAGACACAGTACACACAAGCCACCACAGTGTGACAAACTGACAAACAAGTGGTGGTAGTACTCAGTACTTTAAAAAATTTTTGAATTTGTACCTGAAACACATCTTTCTAATTTCTTAATGTTTTTCATTTATCCTTTCTAGATTGATTTTTCCACCTTAAAAGGCATGGTTATTGACAAATATATAGTGTCTACCTTGCAAAGGTGGCGTCTAAATGTGCTACATTTGAATTTTCGGGGTTGTCTTCTCAAACCGAAAACTTTGAGATCTGTCAGTAAGTACATTCCATTACAACTATTTATCTCACTTTCCTGTGCTCTGATTAAACAAACAAAAATGTAAATAAAGGTGAGACTTCACTTACAGTCTTAGGCCATGTGAATATCAATTGCAACCATTTAAAGAGATTATAATATGGTCAGTTCTTACTGGATTGTATATCTTGAAGTTCATATTATTATATTTAGATATATGGGATCTTGCAAGAGAAGCTCTGACTCTGTTATAGAATCCATGGGGCAAGGAAGCAGAAAATGGTCCTTTGAAATCTTTTGGGTTTAGTCTGCATATGATTCTGCGAGGATCCAAACCTACCTTAGAGATGAAGGTTAGGAGGTACCTTTTGTAACAGCTACTTCCTTTTGCTTTCATGAAAATTGAGAGAAGAGTTATTAATTAGCAATGTGCTTAATAATTTAACACAGAACAAAATGAGATGGAAGTCTGGGGATTTAGAAGAGGTGGAGAGAAGAAGAAATATGAGAGGAATCTGGATACAATACTATAAACCTTACCTAGATTTTTAATTTTTAACCTGCTTCCATTTGAAGTTCATGATGTTTAGGCATGAGCCCACTGGGAAGTTCAAGATGGAGAGGAAATGGGAACAAGAAGTTGCAAATTTTATAGAGAGCATAAAAACCAAGAATTAAATTCTGACTCAAGCAGCCCTATAAGACAGAGTAGAACTACCCTTTAGGGTTTCCAAGGTTGTAAATGTTTACAGAAGCAGACTGCCACATCTTTCTCCAGTGAAGGGACTGGTGGATTCAAACCACCAACCTTCAGGTTAGCAGCCAAGGACTTAAGCACTGTACTACCAGGGCTCCTACAGAGGGTATATAGAAAGTCAAATAATGAAAATGCCTAAGTTAAACTCTTTACAATTCAGTGGGCAAATTGACTATATGTTCATTATTTAGATAATGATGCTATAGTTGATATGTATCATATGTACCCATCTATATCTGTATCTTAGGTAATTCATATTGGTATCTGAGGTTTAACATAGCTTAAAAATATTTTCTTACCTTAAATGCTGCAAAAAGGGCAGGGAGGCCACATCTCCTGATCTCCTCTAACCCCACAAGAGGAAGACAGAATCACCATCAGTAACCCAAGGCCTATTCCTGCCAGGCCAGACATGCTACTTCCCTCCAGCCCTTTCACCAACCGTTCCTCCCAAAGCACCCACCACCTCTCTTCTGGGTTTGATAATTCACTGCAGTGACCACACAGAACTCACAGATTATGGGGTTTATTAGGGAAGCACCAGGCTACAATTCAAGTTCAGGAAGAACGCTCAGTCTTTCTCCCAGTCCACAGTCTCTCTCCTAACAGTCTCTCACAGTCTCTCTCCCAACAGTGAGTGTCCCTCGGTGTCTCAGCAATGAGTGTCTCTTGCATCTCTTTCCCAGCAGTGCGTGTCTCTTTCAGGAGTGCACGTCTTTTTCAGCAGCATGTCTTCCTCAACCAGCAGTCCGAGAGAGACCTCTTCTGCCTCCAGGAGGCCTCCTTTTGAGCCTGGCAGAGTGGCCAAACCAACCAATCATAACATCAGAATTCTAAGTATCTGAGAGAGAGCAGGGACATTGCTCCCAGAACATTGCTTTGTGTTGCTCCCAACAGAAATACCCCAGGTGGATAACTTTTACAATCAGGAGTTCCTCAGTTGCTCACAGCAAATTCCACCACAGAGTTTACAAAGATTTATGGCTAGAAAAGCCATACCAGGTAATTTACTATACCACAAATGCTTTACATTTTCTTGCTTTAAAAATATTTTCTTGCTTTTGATATTTTGTTGTCTATTTTGAAAATATATCATGTAATGTTTATTGAGAAATGAAGTTTTTAGAACAAATCTCTTTATCACAGAAGCAATCAGTCATGTACACCTTTATTTATTTATTTGTGTGTGTGTATGTGTGTGTGTGTGTGTGATTTGGGTGAAAATTTACAAAGCAAATTCACTTTCCATACACCAATTCACACACACATTGTCTCATGGCATTGACTACAATTTACCACAATGTAACAGCTCCCCTTCCATTTCCTCTCCATACTTACCTCTTCCCTGTGTCCATACCTCCATGCACTCCTGCCCTCTGAACTGTCTCTCCTTGTGCATACACAGCCCTTTTTTCTCCCATGATTGTTCTCTTCAAGGAGTGTATCTACCTCAGGTAAATGTTCAACTCATATGCCTGTCTTTTGTTTGGCTGGAAGCCACAGGTGTGGGTTCAATTCCAGACCCGAAGGTC